CTCTAGATATTGTGATTATAACCTAGAAGTATTACTACTATATTACAGATCCATAGATTATAATAAATAAATTTTTAATAAATAGTTTTAATAAATAGTAGATGAATTATTAATAAATAGTTAATAAATTATTTATAAACTATTAATGAATTTTTGATGAACTATTAATAAATTAATATTGAATTTTTATTGAATTGTAAATAAATAATTTTTTAACAAAGTTTTATTAAATTGTTAATAATTTTTTTTATGAATTATTCATAAATTATCAATTGTTAAATATTTTTTATTAATAATTTATTGTTAAATTTTGATTGTCAAATTTTTAATTGATAAATTTTTTATTAATAAATTTTTAATTGTTTAATTTTTTATTATTACTTTATTGCTGAAATAATAATATTTTAAGTAACAACAATAAAAAAAATTTCATTCATATTTTTATTATTAAATTTAATTAAATTTTTAATAATATAATTATCAAATAATATAATTTTGACTAGTATTTAGTTAAGTAATTTTTAAATTTATAATAAGTTTTGTAAAATTTATTAAAAATTATAAATTTTTTTTTTTTTTTTTTAATTATAACCCTCTGTCAGGCTAGTTATGTGTGCTTTATTAAACAATTGTAAGCTGTACATTATACATGTGACACTAAAGCTAATTCTCTAACTAACTCACTCGTCAAAGTCTTATATTTATCTAAGACTCTAAGTGCAACTTCGGGAGTGATTTATTGCTCCGCTAGTAGTTCAGGTGAAAACCCTTCCAACTTCTAACATCATTGCCCACAGGTCACTACTGCGTTATTAAAAATTATAAATATTTATCAAATATTAATATTATTTTAATACAAATTTTAAAATTATTTGTACAAATATTTGTTACAATATATCAAATTTGTTATAATATATAAATTTTTTATTTAATTTTTTATTATAGTATATATATTTTTTAAAAATTTCTTTCTGCAATATATAAATTTTATCAAATTTGTTATTAAAATTTTTTATTAAAATATATTAAATTTAATACTAATTATTGTCAAATTTTATTTACTAAATTTTATTTACTAATATTTTTATTAATATTTTATATATTGTGTAATAACAATTAAAAGAAATTTGATAAAATTTTTATTAATAAATTTAATCTAGTTTAACAATAATTTAACTATTTTATAATATAATTTTAGCTAATATTATATTATTAAAATTATTTAAGTAAAAACTCTTTCCACTGATCCTCTAACTACATACAAAAAAGAAGTTCACAAGAAGTTTTTATACTTCCTTACTAATAAAGTCTTAATACTTTTCTTAAAATAACTTGAAGTATTACTTTAAAAGTTACTACTATCCTTTCTTATTGTTTACAATTCTTTTTACTCAAAACTTGACTTTTAGTAATCAAGAAAAGTTAAGTAATACCTTTGATATGAGTGGCAAGAAAGTTCTCAAAGAAAGAAGAACTAGTTATGAAGTATCTGAAAGTCTTTTTAACTTATAAAACAAGAGATTTATAGAGGTTTATTACAGTTAAAAGGATTATTTTTTCTTTTAAACTATCTTGACCCTCTTAAAACTTCTACTTTCATAGTTTTTTGGAGTATTTTGCCTATCTCAATTTGATCGTGAATTTTTGGTAACATAAATCCTTACTAAAAGTAATTGACTAATATGAAACACATTAGTTTTTGAAATATTAACAAGCTTCTATTGGTTATACTAATATATTTTATTCATCATTGGTGATATAAAAATTAAAATTCTAGAAAAAGTATCCTCTCCAACTATATATGTTTAATTTTTAAGAAATAATTATAATACTGAAAAGTAAGCAACAGATAAAAATGGATCCTTAAAAAGAGAGATAAGAACAAAAGTCAAATGTTCCTTACTAGAAAACATTAAAAATTTTAAATTAATAACTATAAAAAAACTATCTACAATTGTTCTCTATTATCCAAATTATTAATTTATAGCATTTTCTAATTTTTGTTTTTATTAAAATAAAGAGCTATTAACATGGCCCCTAATAAGGAAAGACTCATGGTCTATAGCATGCTTCAAACTAGTTTCCAGATCCAGTACAACAAAAACCTGATTTTACCAATTAAACTATTACACATATCACCATACTATCCCAATGAGCACCCTTACTAGTCAATAGTAAACTAGCAGCTAGATATTATTTATTATTTTTTCTCTTTCTCAATATGTGTTTTCAGAGTTTGTAAGGGTCTACCCATGTAGTTAGCTATAATTATTCATATAATGATTATTAGTATTGATTAATAATTTAATTGTTGAATAAAGTTATGCACTTAATGATATTTGCAAAAAAAAAAACAAAAAATAAAGAGCTATGAATTTTATTTCTCAAAAAGGAACATAAATAATCTGTAAAATTTTATATGTTAAATACTTTAAGGATCTATTATTAATAATGAGTAGACAAATAGATTTGACTTTCATCTCTTATTAAGTTCTTCAAATAGTGAAAAGGCTTTCTTGAACAAAAGCTGAAGTCTTCAAGCTTTTATCCCAGTCAGGCAAAGTTCTTGACAAGATTTCTTTATTCTGGTCAAGCAAACTCTTTTATAATATGGCATTGGCTCCAATAGTAATAAGAAAATCTATATATTAGCAGAAAGATAAGTTCCTCAAATATTCTTCTTAAAGTCATCTTCAGGAATAATTAAATTTCTCAAACATAATAAAGCTTAGAGGATATCTTAATTAGACAAACCCTTTTTAAGAAGAAACTGTAAAATAAACCAAGAACCTTTTGAGGGGTTTTGAATTATATTTTTTTTTGCTCTTTTCTCAATGCCATACTTTAGCAATTCATTATTTTTTGGGATAATCAACAGTAAAAAACTATTAATACCTTGTTTAGACTTAGTTATATTTGATCTGAATTAGCTTAATGAACTCCTCATATTTTTTAAATAGTGTAGTTCTTTGACTAATAATATATAATTATGAGTTGGCTGCTTTGTAAAAAGTCTAAAATATTTTGATATTTCTCAATATCTCAATAAAAACATATTGTACCATAGTAGCATGATTGCAGGTTAAAAAAAAAAAAAGTATTAAAATTATTTAAAGATCTATTATATTCTATTTTAATTTTTAAGAATCAATAATATTTTTAGAAAAAAATATTTTAATATATTATATATATATATATATATATTTAAAACTCTTTATCAATCTAGATAAACTATACTTTATATGTCAATTTTATTATTTAAAGTATAAAGTTATTTTTATTTGATAAATGATTTAATAATTTGCAAATCAATAAGTTAAGTGATTTCCAATTTTAATCTATGCTTGTTTAAGTTAAATAATTATTGTGATCTCTACTGGTTCAGGATTATCTAGTTTATTGCATAGTTTTGTTATTTGACTTTTTCATTATAACATTCAAATACTTGTCAAGTTGTGGATCTTTAAGTGATAAATTATACTATTAGATATAAATCTATATAATGTATTCTTATTTTTGAAAAGTTTTCTGTATACTCTTGTTAGGGAGTTACATATTTTTCAGAACAATATGCTATGTTACATTCTAAATTCTATTTTAAATATTAATACTCTATTTAAAATATAGAAAGCTTATTTATCTATTAGATTTTTGTTTTTAAGGGCTCTAATTATTATGTTAACTTCTTTGAATATCCATTATTTAAGCTTGATTATAGTCTTTTGATTGCCTATTCAGATTTCTAGAAATCTGATTTGTTCTATTTTATCAAATTCTTTGATCATTTCTTATTCAATACCTGTTTAAACTTTTTTTAGATAACAGTTAAAATTATTGATAATTATCAAAACTGATTTGTTGCTATTGATTTAAGAGTCATTGGTTTTGTAGAAGATTTTTGTAATTTTTAGAATTTTTTTTATATTTTTTTTAGATCTAACTATTTATGTCATATTATCTATAAAGACTATAGCTATATGTCTTGAGTTCTAGATAACTGATATTTTTATCTTCTTTATATATTATTTTGAATTTTGCAAAGCAGAGGATTGTAGAAGATTTACTATAGTAAAGGTAAAATAGTATTCCCTTGGTCAATTCAATTTTTTGCTACTATTGATTATGTGAGATCATTTTTAAATATGACTTAAAATTCACTACTTTGAAACAGGCTCATTATGATTTTTATGAGACCTTCTAGAGCTTTGATTCTTTCCATTGCTTTTAACAATATTTCTAGACTAATAGTATCATATACTTTTACCATATCTTGAAAAGGTATTCACAATTCCTTTTTTTGATATATTATATTATCTTGAACAAAGAATTTTAATAAAAGTTGAATTTATCATATTTGAAACAATCTACCTTGATATCAAAAGCAGAGATATGAATAAATCACCATGAAACACCAGTCACTACACTTTCTCAAACCATTTTCCATAATTAGCAGGGACATTCTTTCATAAAATAAATGCTAATGAACAATTAACAAAATTATTGTACATTATCACATGACCGATACAGGAAGTCGGTCGCCGCGAAATTATCAAAAAAAAAAGCACGAGATAAGATTAAATCATACACGGTATTTTGGTAATTAGTCATTATTTTTCTACCCATAAGTATTAGAATATGCCGAGTTAGGTAATTTGCGTGGATATATAATAAGTAAGCCTAAAATTACATGGAAGGAGAGAATTGATATTGGCAGACACGTCTCATGGGGTCTGGTTTTTCTACATTCGAAAGATATTTTACAGAGATCAGCCTCAATGTTAATAGTATCTTAATAAAGCTTTAATTATTAATTTAGCATCCCAATTATATAGTTTTATCGAGCTCTGGCAAGAAACTAAAAGCAAAGATAATTGACTTTGGTGGTGTGTCAGAAAACTTGTAAAAGTTCCGAATTTCTTCCATGCTAACTTTACGACACTTACAGTATGGGCGGAGCTGTCGAGTGGAAGACAAACCATTTACAAAGCTAAACTGTCCAATTATTTTATCATCTGTAAAACGCGGAACATTACCTGACATATGGGATTCAGGTGTATCGTTAAATTTTCTTAAGTGCTCTTTCCTTTAAATAATTTTTTAGTAGACTACGAGAATGATTCTGTTTACGATTAGCTTTTCTAAGTTAATATGATCAAACACAATTATTTTCAGATGCATCTTTTCTTTATCCCTCTCTCGTTTACTTCTTTTTTGCATTCCTAAGATTCCTTTTAAGCTTAACAAGCAATATGGCATTATTTAAATTTCAAACATCGAGTCATTAACACAAAACGGACATTTCAAACATATATACTATGACGATTCGGCAATTAATATACAGCGACTTTCAACACAGCCCAATTTGATAATTTAATTTACAGTATACTGTATTTCGAAACTAAAAATATTAGAGCAACAATTAAAATTTACACTTGAAAATTTATGATAAACTAAAATAAAGTTTAATTATTCCAATGCTTTTCTGTTGTGTTTTTAGTACTAAAGCTAAAAATGTTTTCAATATAGACTTCATTTGCTCGTTAATAATATACTAATTATCTTTTTTGTGTCAAATATACAATATGTTTCCACATGTCATTATCACAGGTATGCTGTTTGGTTCAATTTCTAATTTCTTAATATCCTCTTACGTGAAAGATTTCTATTTCCGCTGGTCGATACCCATTAAATTACAATGCACATCTCATTAACAATCCCTTTCAAAACCTTTTGCGTCCTGAGATCCACTCCATATGCAAGAGTCGTAACTCTTTGTAATATTCTTGTACCTATCAACCTTAAATATTTTTATTCGGTTCTGTAATAGTGTTTTCAAAGGAACTATAATCAAATTCCTTCATATGTCTGTTGTTAACAACATTCTTTAAGTCATTTTCGAGGATTCTTTAAAGGATTCATTTTTCTTTTCTAACATAGCCATTTTAAAGGATCGGGTGAATTGCTCCGATATAGAGTATCACGTGGTTATGATAAACGGATCGTGTTGATACCTAACATATCTAACCGCTAGTAATCACTGAACGATCCGCGGATCCGATCGGATTTATGTTACACATGAAAATGCATTTAATCCACGCTTGCATTCACCCACTCACTTATCCGCTCACCCATTCATTCACCCGCCCGTGCATTCATCCGAACGCCCATAAATTTAACCGTCCACATTAGCTGAGACGGGTGGTGCTGACAGAATGCGCAGTGTCAGGATAAACATGTGGCATTCAAACATCGGCCGAGATGGTGATGCTGATTGAATGCACGGTATCGTGAGAAACGATGAACATAAGGCATTTGAACATTATCAAATATCGGCCGAGGTGTGTGGCGCTGATTGAATGCGCGGTGTCAATTGACAAAAAAAATGAATATAATATTATCAAACATCGACCGAGATCAGTGATGCTATTGAATGCGCGGTGTCAATTGACAAAAAAAAAAAATGAATATAAGGCATTTTAATATTATCAAATTTTTTCCGAGATGGGCGGTGCTAATTGAATGCGTGATGTCGGTTAGTGAAAAGAATAGCATAAGGCATTCGAATATTATTAACCATCAGCCGAGATAGTTGGTACTGATGGAATGTGTGGTGTCTGCTGATGAAAAAAATAAACATAAGTCTTATCAGTCATCGACAAATATAGGCGGTGCTGATTGATGACAAGAATGAATATAAAACATTTGAATATTACCAAGCATCGTCCGAGGTAGGTATCGCTGATTGAATGCGTAGTTTTAGTTAATAAAAAGAATGAGCATAAGGTATTCGAGCATTCTCAAACTCGGCCGACACGGGTGGCGCTGATTGAATGCACGGTATCGTAGTGAAAATGCTAAACATAAGGCATTCGAACATATCAAGCATCAACCGAGATGGGTTGACGAAAAGAGTAAACATCGGCCGAGATGGCAGCGCTAATTGAATGCGCTATTTCGGTTGGTGAAAATAATGACTATAAGGCATTTGAATGTTTTCAAAATCGGCCGACATGATCGCGCTGATTGAATGCATGATATCGGTCGTGAAAATGGAGTATTATAAAGCATCGGCCGAGATGAGTAGTGCAGATTGAATGTGTGGTATCGAGTTGAGAAAATATTATCAAATATCGTTCGAGACGGGTATGCGTGGTTTCTGCTGATGAAAAGAATGAACATAAGGCATTTGAATGTTATCAAAATCGGCCGACATGTGTGGTGTTGATTTAATGCACGGTATCGATCGTGAAAAATGGTAAACATAAGGCATTTGAATATATCAAACATCGACTGAGATAGGTGGCGCTGATTGAATATGTGATTTCGGTTAGTAAAAAGAATGAACACAAGCATTCAAACATCGGCCGAGATGGGTGGTACTGATGGAATGTGCAGTGTCTGCTGGTAAAAGAAATGAACATCAGGCGTTTGAATATTATCAAGTATCTGACGAGTACGAGTTATCGATAAGGCATTTACAGTAGATATTATCAAACATCGACCGTAGATGGGTGATGCTGATTGAATGCGCAGTCTCGATTAGTAAAAAGAATGAACATAAGGCATTCAAATATTCTCAAACTTAGCCGACGTGAGTGGCGCTGATTGAATGCACTGTATCGGTTGTGAAAAATGATGATCGAATGCGCGGTTTCGGTTTGTGAAAAGAATGAGCTAAGGCACTTGAATAATATCAAACATCGGCCGAGATGTGTGGCACCGATTGAATGCGCGGTTTCAGTTTGTGAAAAGAATGTGCATTAGTCATTTGAATGTTATCAAACATCGGCCGAGTGGGTGGTGCTTATTGAATGTACAGTTTCGGTTTGTGAAAAGAATGAGCCTAAAACATTAGAATATTATCAAATATCGGCCGAGATGGGTAGCGCTGGTTGAATACGCGGTTTCAATTTGTGAAAATAATGAGTATAAGGCATTTGAATGTTACCAAACATCGGCCGAGATTGGTGGCGCTGATTGAATTTGCGGTTTCAGTTTGTGAAAAGAATGAGCCAAGGCATTTGAATATTATCAAGCATCGGCCGAGATGGGTAGCGCTGATCGAATTTGCGATTTCAGTTTGTGAAAAGAATGAGTGAATGTACGGTTTCAAAGAACGAGCATAAGGCATTTGAATGTTATCAAAAACTGACCGAGATAGGTGACTCTGATTGAATGCGCGGTTTCGGTTGACGAAAAGAATGAATATAATGCGTTTGAATATTACCAAACATTGGCTGAGGGTAGCGCGTGGTTTCGGTTTGTGAAAGAATGAGCTAAGGCATTTGAATATTATCAAACATCGGTGGCGCTTATTGAATGTGCGGTTTCGGTTGATAAAAAGAATGGATATAAGGCACTTGAATATTATCAAGCATCGGCCGAGCATAAGGCACTTGAATATTATCAAGCATCGGCCGAGCATAAGCCATTTGAATATTATCAAGCATCGGCCGAGATAGGTGGCGCTAATTGAATGCACGGTTTCGGTTGATGAAAAAAATGAACATAAGACATTTGACTTTTTTCAAATATCGGCCGAGATGGGTGGCGTTGAATGCACGGTTTCGGTTTGTGATAAGACGAGCATAAGGCATTTGAATATTATCAAACATCGGCCGAGATGGTGGCGCTGATTGAATGCGCGGTTTCAGTTTGTGAAAAGAATGAGTATAAAGCATTTGAATATTATCAAACATCGGCCGAGATGGGTGATGCTGATTGAATGTGTAGTGACATTATCAAGATTGACTGGCAGTTTTAAATATTATAATACATCGGCCGAGATAGATGGTGCTTAAATTGGGTGGGTAAGGAATATGCAGGTGAATAATGTGCGAGCAAATAAGTGAATGGACAGACAGGTGAGTAATGGGCAGTGTGTGAGTATACGAATGGACAAATAAGTGAATGGGTAGTTAGAGGAGTGGAAGGGCATATGAGTGGATGGGTGAGTAGATGATAGATGGCTTAGGCGGATAGGTGAGTGAATAGGCGAATGAGTAAATGAATGGATGGGTAATTCACAATCATGCCATGATGGCTTATCTTTATTGAGAAATTAAAACAAAATCTGCAATAGTTTACAGACTTTCACAATATGACTAACTTATCTTCATACATAAGTACTCTAAATCAGATTTGGGAAACAATATTACACTCTCCTAATAGATTGGTTATAATCTTTATCTATCAGAATTATTTTCAACAGTTTGTTACTTAAAATGACCTAAAAATCAATAAATTGTTAAGTTAAAAGGGAAAGGGGAAAAATGATTGAAGAAAGGGAACAATTCAAGATCCATCAAAAAAGTCCAAAAATAAGAACAATCTCTTCTCAAAAGGGATATGCCTAATTGGAATAATCATCTTGCTTATTTGAACTTTGAAAGAAATCTTCTTTTTTATTATTTACAGTATCAAATGAGCCAATTCAACTGATCTTTTATTAAACATGCACCAGATTGGGATATTTCAAGAAAACATTTAGAATATTTTATATTAAAATATAATGGAAATAATAATTTAACTAATGAAATTTTAAAATTGATTTTTAAATATTAAAAAATGTTTGCTAATAAAGTCTTTATACTTTCATTAAAAAAAACTTGAAGCTTGATTTCATATATTTCTTCTATCTTCTCTTACTTATTTATAAACTTCTTTGAATAAAAACTTGAACCTCTAGTAATCTGAAAAGACTCAAGTATATATTTCCTCTATTAAAGACAAGAAGGTTCTAGAAAGTAAAAGGATTGATAAGTAAAGTGTCACCTTATAGAGCTAAAGTGGCAAAAAATAGAGGTTTTGTTGATAGGAGAAGGTTTATTATTCACCTTCTCACATATTGCCTTGTATCCTCTTAAAATGTCTACTGTTTTTTACGATTTTCTTGAAAGATTTTGCCTATCTCAATTTAATCCTAAATTTTTAGTAACATAATGTTACCTGGCATCTGATTGATTGATATTAAACACATTAGTAACTAAATATAAACAAGTTCCTATTGATCACCTTACGTATTCTGATAACATCATTAATAATAGAAAAAGTTAATTGATATTCTATGTTTATTTCATTCCTCCAATTGGATTAACCTATAGATCAAGTTTCATAAGGCCAATAAGATACAAGCAACAAGTTCCAGGTGGTGTAAAAGCTGCTATTTATTTAAGCTAAGATCTTTCTCTCCTATTATTCCAGTCAGGCAAAGTTTAAGACCAAGGTCTTCTTTTTATTCCAGTTAAGCAATAAGA